GTCAATCTCATCAAGTCTTCCAATTAGGTGAAAAGGTCAGACAGCGTCCGACATTGAAAAACATGGGCAGATACCCTTATCAGGGTTTCTGCCCCGACAGCGGCGCGTATACGACGAGGGTCGGCAACCGATATACGGACCACGTACTGGTGGTTTAACATTTTTTCACAAACTTTGACACATTTTTAAAACCAAAGAGAATCAAAGTGCAAAAGAAAAGTAGAGCAAGCGAGGATAATATCGGAGAATATAACACATTAGGAAGATGGATGCACTCGATGGGTATCGAAAGAAAAGGATTACAAAATGAAAAAATTCAATTTTTGAATTTACTGGAATTCCATAGTGGGAAAGGGATCGGGTTACAAAGGAGATATTCGATAGGTTGCCGCTGAAAAATATCAGGCAAGCCATGAAGTTGTCCAAGTATCATTTTGATGGAGGAGGAATTTGAGTCTATATTATACCATATAGCTAACGGAAAGGCTTTAGGAGCAAACAATGTGATTGTGAGTTGTTATCAATTGGCATGAAATGAAAATACCATTGACTGAAATGTTCCGCAATTATTAATAACAACCATAGTCACAAAAAATGTATGGTATTGGGTGATCATATGCACGCAAAAAAAAAAAAAAGTAAGACACCTGACATCTGTAATTGGAAGTTGTTTCTTTCTCTTGAACGTTTCGTAAAACAATTTATGCGAAAACTATTGTTAAATATATTTGGTGTTCCTTATCAACACTTGTAGAAAGGGATCCTATTGCATTTGTACAAAGTCGATGTTTGATAATATCCTATCTACAATCTATATAACACTCGTACAAAGTGCGAAAGGTTTTTGTACAATGTATACTCATCGTATAATCTGTGCGACTCGATATGGTAAGGATTGGAAAAAACAAAGTCTAAGAGTTTCAAAAAAAAAAAAAGTGACAGAGTTTGTCATGATGAACTATGTTTTGTGTAGAAAAAAAACAAAATGATGATGAAATGAAAAATAAAATAAAAAATCATAAGGACTCATTTATGTATGGGTAAATGAATCTAACAATCTTTAGATATATGTAAATAAATAAATGTGTATGCTAACTGCAAATGTATAATTATTTTAACCTATTTACAAATCTCAACATAAATTTATCTATAAATTTAAATATAGATATGTAGATTAAATTATCGATCGACGTATGGGGTAATATGGTAACCCATTCCACCCCTTGAGTACAATAAAGTGCCTTCACATATTTCATTGCTTCAAAGATGACAAACGATGTTATGTCCAAACCTTAAATTATTTTTGTTAAAACGTGCCTTGAGGCTAACTTTCCCCATACCTCTCATTGTTTGTAATTTAGCTAAAAGTTTTTCTATCTAGTATTGAGACTCGTCTTTAGATCTGTGGAATGACTGTTGACTTCTTATAATATGAAATCTTCTCTTTAAATTTGTGGAATGACCATTGACTTAGATAAACTTCTCTAAGTCATATACACAATAGCCTTTGCATGCGCAAAAAATATATTTGACAAGTATAATTTCATGAATTGAGGGAAGTGTTCTATCATTTTTCCTCTATGACGAACAATTATTATAAGTTCAACCTCTCGAATGAATGCAATTAGATTCCTTTTACTTTTATGGCATTGCTCCTAACTTGGGTAATGACCCCAGTCTTTTTTTCACGTTATTTGTAATAAATTTTTGGTCTCCTTGTTGCTATGTCGAAATAAAGTTTCTCTCTTCGCCCCCCCCCTCCTTCCCCTCCGCCCCACACTAAAAAAGGAAAAACTCTATTCAATTTTTACTTATCTATTTATTTTTCAAAAGGGCTACTCGAACATTATTGCATTCGATTTAAACTTATGACCTGCTCATCAAAATTTATATGTGTCGTTTAGCTGGATGGGTTGGGTTGTTTCGTTTAAACCACCAGTACCTCTCTCAGCTATCGTTCCCGAGCCTAAAATACATCTGCGCGCCAAAAACAAATGAACCAGCGCATCACTACTTTTGGTTGGCGCTAAGGGTCATGAGAGAGTTATTAGACACTGCCTGCGATATCTAGGGTATGCACATCTAGTTCCAGACACTGGGGTGCCTGGGTAAGTTTGGGGGGCACTAAGGGTCTATGGGGCCTGCAAAGAAGACGCCTATGCCTAACGCCTAAAGTACCCGTTTCACAGGGCTTGTTTGCGCATGTGCTTCAACGAGGGCTCCATGGGGTTCCCGTTTAGCCCTACTAGTAGTCCTCCTGCAAACCCTGTCTGGGCAGGTCACCCCTGTCAGGATGGTAGAAGCGTGATGGTCCTGAGCGGTAGGCACTGAGGTAGGACTGGAAGTGGGGGTGCACCAGGGAGAATCGATGGACAAAGGAGGGTGGGTGAGGTCTTGTAATGAAAAAAGAAACAAGACGGGTATAGCCCCCTAACATTCTTTCGTGCATTCACCCCGATTTGAAGTCTTCGTTCGATCAATTGTCCGCTTGCTTTGTACCATAAAGTCTCAGGCAGATAACAACCCCTAAGGTAGGCCTTGTGAACCTTCCTTTTCTATGAAGTACCGATGGGGAGCAGAGTAGCCTGTCAAGTTATTTATTCATTTTTTATTTTATTTTGAAGGCTAATTCTTTAAGCCCAACCAATTCAATTACCTGTCAAATCTGGACAGGCCGGCCTTTCAGGCCTTTTGTATTGTCATTATAGTATTATGGGGAACCCTGTAGCAGCCCCATCCGTGCTAAAGTCTCCAACGTGGGAACATGATGCGGGAGCTGCACCCACCAGCAGGTGCGATAACTGGTACAACAGGTGGGCGATGACGGCCAGGGGTCAGCCGGTAGCATCAGGACCGAGCTTCTTCGATGGGCCGGTCACTGTGCTTCCCCTCCGGTCCCCTCCCCCTATGAACATCAAAAGTCGCTGGTAAATGCCACTCGGCCCTCGGTGGGACCAACGACCTATCTCTAGGTGGCGGACGCCAAGCTTGCCCAGGAAGGTACATGAGGGCAAGGGGAATTGAACCCAAGACCTCCTGAATGCCACTTGAGTGCCTTACCAACTGAGCTAGGCCGCTGGATTCAATTGTTTTTCCAAAGACAGCACCCACAAAAATGGAGGAGGAAAAGAGAAGGCCAATCTTTCAAAAAAAAAAACAAAAAAAAAAAGAAGGCCAATCTTTCAAAAAAAAAAAAGATCCACTGTCCTTCGGGACATCCGTTAAAATTGGAACGATACAGAGAAGATTAGCATGGCCCCTGCGCAAGGATGACACGCATATATCGAGGAAAAAGATCCACCAGGGCACTCGGTGTAGTAGGGTCGAAGTAGGCCATTAGGTGAGTGTCCATAGGATTGGACGCTGTCCTCTGGGCCGAGTTAGGGCGTCGTTCGACACTCCTCGGGCATCCTCGGGCTCCGAGGATGAATCCTCGAAAAAAGTTTAGGGTTTTTGTCGTCTTCGTTCCACTCATCCTCGGAGCATCGGTTTTAGGACTCGTCCTCGGAGCAATGTCAGAAAAAAAAAGTAAAAAAAAAAGTAAAAAAAAAAGTAAAAAAGTTGTGCTGCAGGCTTTCAGCCAATAGGGTGCCGCCACGATCAGAATTCTCGGTTGTAACGTCTCTCTACGTGCATGCCCTCTCCTCTCCGTGAAACACGGATCCTCGGGCTCCAAGGGACCTCAAGGGACCTCGCGAGGTCCCTTGGAGCCGAGGACGATTTGGCTGGGAAATCCTCGGAGCCCAAGGATTTGTCCTCGGATGTTTTCACATTTCTGTTCCGAAAATCGGCTCCGAGGACAGGTGGAACGGCGACGGAATCCTCGGAATCGCGTCCCCGAGGAGTGTCGAACGACGCCCTTAGTCCCAGATGTAGTTAGTAGTAGTTAGAATGAGAAGCCAGCAGCTTGGATTTAAAGATTTTAAGTGGAATTTTTCTCGATATGCAACCTCATGATGTCCATAAGCAACAGTGCATTGAGTCCGGTAGCACAGGCACGAAGTCTGATTAAATAGACAAGTCTTCGGAAAGCATAGAGCAGAAGGTTTCCCAGGCAAGAGCCTGTAAGCTAAGCTTGCTGATGCTGCCAGTAGTTTCGGGGTTGAATTGTTTTGTTTTTTTTTTTTTTAAAAGAAAGGCTAATTCTTTAAGCCCAATCAATTCAATTACCTGTCAAATCTGGACAGGACGGCCTTTCAGGCCTTTTTTATTGTCATTCTAGTATTACGGGGAACCCCGTAGCAGCCACATCCGTGCTCAAGCCTCCAACGAGGGAACATGCGGGAGCTGCACCCACCAGCAGGTGTGACACCTGCTACAGCAGGTGGGCGATACCGGCCAGGGGTCAGCCGGTAGCATCAGGACCGAGCTTCTTCGATGGGCCAGTCTCTGTGCCTCCCCTCCGGTCCCCTCCCCCTATGAACATCAGCAGTCTCTGCTCAATGCCACTCGGGGGGACCAACTGCATGTCTCTAGGTGGCGGGCGCCAAGCTTGCCCAGGAAGGTACATGAGGCCAATGGGGATTGAACCCAGCACCTCCTGAATGCCACTTGCGTGCCTTACCAACTGAGGTAGGTCGCTGGTTCGGGTTGAATTGTGAGGTCCCCGGCCTCGGTTTCCTGTTATAATGAATTGAAGTTGGATTGTTAAAAAAAAAAAAAGAGAGGAGGCCAAACTTTCGAAATGCCCCTCCGACTTCCATTTATTTGCGGTATGCCCCTCCAACGGACGACTTGCACCGTCGTGCCCCTGGGAGCTCTGAAGTTCCCTGCAGAAAAATGAGCACCGTACTGATAGCGTGCGGGGCCAGATGTGGCAGGTAATCACGTGAGGGGCAGATCTGTAAATGGCCCGTCCGATGAACGGCAGATGTGCATTTCCGGCCTCCGCCCGGTCGATGATGTGTGGGGCCATGCCAGCGGTGTCCCTCATCGCCACCCACACAACTGTGAACGCCATCTCCATTGACATAACGGCCTCTACGGTAGTCGATCTGCGAGTGTTGGGTTAATTTTTGGTTGCTTCTACTGCAAGCAGGATTTCCTGCTGGTGAGCGTGGAAGCCCGTTCTCTTCTTCTTCTTCTTCTTCTTCTTCGTTGTTTCTTCCCTTTCTTTTCTCTCTCTTTTTGTTTTCTTCTTAGGGGCCCTGACTGGCAGAGCCCCGAAGATTTATTTTTTTGTATTCGCATGGTTCGAACTCCTGATCTGTACGTCAGAGAAAAGAAATCTTAGGGTTTGAAAAAAATAAAAAATAAAAATAAATCTTAGGGGCTCTGCCAGTCAGAGAAAAAAAAAAATCTTGCTTCTACTGCAGGATTCCCGCTGGTGAGCGCGGAGTTACATGTGTCCGATTCAGTCCCTACGAAAGGTATTCTCTTCTTCTGCTCGTCCATGCCGCATCATTTCCCTCCGCGCTACCACTCCTTTCCGGCCTTACCTACCTTCTCCTCCTCCTCCTCCCCCTCCTCCTCCCCCTCCCTCTTCTTCTCTCCTCCTCCTCTTCCTCCTCCTCCTCCTTTTCCATTTTCTTCTTCTTCTTCTTCTCTCCTCCTCCTCTTCCTCCTCCTCGTTTTCCATCTTCTTCTTCTTCTTCTTCTTCGGCTTTTCCTCCTCCTCGTCTTCTTCTTCTTCTTCTTCTTCTTCTTCTTGTTGCTCATCTTCGGATTCTCCAGCTCTGCTAGATTACAAACGCCTTGAATCGTCTACTTCCTGTTGTCCTGCATTCCCTCCCAAACTGATGACGAGATGGCACGCCTTCGGCATACACATCCTAAGCTTGCCATTTTGAATTGCAGGGCTACTACACTCTGTATCCTACCCCTCCCTCCATGCGCCGAAAAAAGACGGGAAAGAGAAATGGCCGAAAAAAGAAGAAGTAAAGAGAAAGGAAAACTACTTTTCAAAGATTCGAACTCAACAGTCTGGGGTCTACGTCAGGGGAAATTACTGTAATAGGTTATAGTGGTGACGATGACTTAGAACTTAGAAGAAAGCACGTTTGGTGTGGCGGAAGGAAGGAAGGAAGGAAGGAAGGAAGGAAGGAAGGAAGGAAGGATTTAGGACGGCGGGGATGGAGGAATCGTGGTAGGCGCACATTCATGCCGCTTTGTCAGCTCTGGGGGGGGGGAAGAAGAAGAAGAAGAAGAAGAAGAAGAAGAAGAAGAAGAAGAAGAAGAAGAAGAAGGAGGGGCTGGGTGGAGGAGAAAGAGGCAGGGGAAGAACGAAGGGGCTGGGTTTGTATGTAAGTAGGAGGACAAGTACGAAAGGGCGAGAGGGGGGGGGGAAGAAGAAGAAGAAGAAGAAGAAGAAGAAGAAGAAGAAGGTGTAGTGAAGATGAAGAGGAGACAGCAGGTGTAATGAAAAAGATGAAGAAAGGGAGGAAGTGGAGGAGGAGGAGGAGAACAAGAAGAGAGGCACAAGAAGAAGGACAAGGAAAGGAAGAGGAGAAGAGGCGAGTAGCGTGAAGAAGAAGAAGAAGACCAAGATGGAAGAAGCAAATATGTGTAGTGAAGAAGAAGAAGAAGAGGAGGAGGATTAGGACGAGGAAGAAGAAGAAGAAGAAGAAGAAGAAGAAGAAGAAGAAGATATAGAAAAATGAAGAAGAAGGCAAAGGAGGAGAAGATGAAGAAGAGGCAAGTGTAGTCAAGAAGAAGAAGAAGAAGAAGAAGAAGAAGAAGAAGAAAAGGCAGCTCGATGAATCAAGTGAAAGAGACACACGGTTGGGCTACCACCCCGCATTCTGGTCATGTGATAGAGCTCCTAACTGCTTTGTCCCCCTTAATTTCTCAGTTTTGCCTGATGTCCAACCCCCCTGTAGGTGGAGGGGGAGGGAGGGTTGGAGGGGAGGGTTCATTCTGCAAACTAGACTTTCCCACCATTTCCTCCCCCTCCCCCCCCCCCTCCTTGGAATGGAATTCCGCCTTTGCAGGCCCTTGTTTTTTTTTTTTTTTAACTCGGAATTTCCGGTCCCCATGCAAGCATGGCCTATTTTCCAGTCATAATGAATTTTGAACCTCCCTGTACAGGCTGAGGAGATTGAAATTATGAATGGCTTAAAAAAAAAAAAAAAAAAAAAAAAAATCATGAATGGGTTCGAGTGTGTGAATTAGGGAATACCCACGCTACAATTATCATGCCTGACAGCGATTACGACCAATTTTTCGTATCTATGGAAAAGAAAAAAAAAAGAAAAAAAAAAAAAGCGAGCAACAGTTGTTGATGGACTTCACGTGTGAGCATTTGCAATGAACCTCCCCTCAATCCACACACGAACTCCACACATATGCATGAGTAGCAGAACATTCACGTGAGAGTTCACACTCGATGCCAATCAACTGCGACGGTCTGGAACCGAGACCCTCTGGGACAGGGCCAACTGGGACTCTGGGATCGGGACTGGAACAACATGTTACAGCGCGAAATCCTTTCAATGTCTTTTTGTTGATGAGGTCATCAATTGGTCAAGGCAGGGAATCCTCCCCTCCCTTCCCCGAAACACACAGCCCCCAACCACCCCCCACCCCCTCCCCCGACTCGGCTGTGGCTCCCCCCTTTTTCTGTTTCACCGCCACATCTCGTCTCTTCTCTTCCTAACCCGCTTCCCACCTCTTCTTCACCATCTTCCCCCTCCCCTCCCCCGTCGTTCTCCCTCCTCCCCAATACTCCTTCCTCCTCATTTTCCTCCTCCTCCCTCCTCTTCCTCCTTTTCCTCCTCCTCCCTCCTCTTCCTCCTTTTCCTCCTCCTCCCTCCTCTTCCTCCTTTTCCTCCTCCTCCTCCTCTTCCTCCTCTTCCTCCTCCTTCCTCCTCCTTCCTCCCTCCTCTCCTCCGCCTCTCTCTCCACCATTATTTGTCGTCTGTTTTTTTTATGATGGTTGATGTGTCCTTTCTATGTGTGTGGGACTGAAGATGCTGGGGACCGGGTCCAGCATAACCGCAAGGGGAAACCAGCCAGAACTGCTGTCTGTGCACTAGAGAACGCCCTGCTACATTGTTCAGGCCTTTTTTTTTTTGTTTTTGACGTGAACCGGAGGCATTCATTCAGTGTGAAAAAAATTAGAGCATTCCTCGATTTATGCGTGTCATGTGAAAAAAATTAGAGCATTCCTCGATTTATGCGTGTCATCCTTGAAAGCCCAGGGGCCATGCTAATCTTCACTCTCTTTATCGTTCCAGTTTTAACGGATGGGATGTCCCGAAGCACCTAACCAGGGCTTCTGACTATGGTTTGCCCTAAACAATCGTTAGCCCCCTGAAGGTTTCCAGGGCCTAGAAAGCCCAGCGGACATCCTGGAGCTGGGCACGGCAGGTTTCACACAGAATTGCAAACCCCTAGCCCTGAGCTTGTCCACGTTCAGTCACAGGAATCTCAGGCAATCTGACATTTTGGCACAGCTGCAGGTCCAGGTCCAACATGTAACCACGTCAGCCGTTTGAGTTCGAGGGTCCAGGTCCAAAGTGTGAATCCGGCGCTGAACCTGCCCACGTTCAGCCACAGCAATCTCAGCCAATCTGACATTTTGGTACAGCTGCAGGTCCAGGTCCACCCGGTCCTGCCGAGCTTCAACCAAGAACTAATTTGCAGCCTGTGATCCCTTCACAGACCTGCCGGACATCCGGCAAACCTTCACAGGGCCTGAGGTCCAATCAGGAACCTAGGCACGACCAGGTTCACACTTTGGTTTGGACCCTGGTCCTGTCCAGGAACCTAGGCACGACCAGGTTCAGACTTTGGTTTGGACCCTGGTCCTGTCCAGGAACCTAGGCACGACCAGGTTCACACTTTGGTTTGGATAGGCACGACCAGGTTCACTCTTTGGTTTGGGCCCTGGTCCTGTCGAGAGTGTGGACATCAAGTAACCATTCACAGAGCCTCAGGATTGCAGAGTTCCAGCCACAGGATTGCATCCAGATTCTTCCCACCACTCGAGATACTCTCCATCCATCTGAAAGCAGCTCATTTCCATGTCCCACGACACCGGACATGCTACACATCCCACCCGTTTATGTTCAGTTTCATATCAGTTATCGATTGGCCATGCCTGTCATCCTTCAACTAGGTGCGGGAAGTCGGGCATAGCCCACACATTTCTCCATTCTTTGTAGTTGTTGGTAGCGGTAGTGGTGGTGGACAGGACTGAGGGGAGGATCGATAATGAGGCTTGTTTGGGAGAGAGAGCAGTAGATTGAAGCGAAGCCATAGCTGTTGATGTGGTACACAGGTATAACTGGAGAGGGAACCACCCTCCGTGTGTGTGTGTGTGTGTGTGTGTGTGTGTGTGTGTGTGTGTGTGTGTGTGTGTGTGTGTGTGTGTTTATGACCGTATAGTATGCCATGACACGTTTGCCTGTGTCATGCATATCTCCGATGAAAGATCACCGGCGCACCTTGTACTCCGTAACTGTGCAGGTATGGCATGCCTCAAGCGTGGTAGGACCGACTTTTATCGGGGCAAATGGATAATTTCACGCTCTTCCTGGTCTCATTGCTACCTAGCGACGAAGGGCCCATCCCCTTATGCAGACAACACACAGGCACACAAGGCAGGGCGACGACAACAACCAGCAGTCGAGGAAGTCGAGGGGCAGAGAGGCAATGAGCTGTTGGATGACAAAGCACAACGGGCACACAGGGAAAGCAAAAGGATTTAAGACAGCACAAAGGTTAGAGGGCACGGGGTAGGCGCGAGGGCAGACAACACAAGCACACAAGGCAGGGAAACTACAACAACCAGCACACAAGGCAAGCACCAAAACCAAGAAAACTGAGAAAAAATAAAAACTGACGATGACAAGATTATTTCGTCGGAGTTGCACCGACTCATCAGGAGGCTGAACCCTCGACAATCTGCGGAATCTCTGTATTTGATGGTTTGGGTCATGAACCCTTTGACCCTTGTTGAAGGCAGACTGTCCCCAAGTGGAGCATAGCAGCGGGCAGCAACCCTGTGGAGCACCAGGCAGCACAGTAGAGGCAACACGGCTGCACAACGCCAAAAACGACTGCAAGGAACGACATGGCACGCAGGACATGCAGTGCGCCAACCGTGCAGTGAAGCACAAGGCAGCACAAGCAAGTTAACCACACTGCAAGGGACGACAGGGCGAGCGGACCCGTAGCTTGGCAACCGTGGAGCGAAGCACAAGGCACCAGCAACAAGGCAGCCATCCAACAAGACCCGCAAGCAGCAAACACGGAACACGATTAAACCCCGCAGACTGTTGGTTCCACCACCCACTGAGCCAGGGAGACACTCCGGCGAGCATCCGTCATCACCCACAGGCAACACAGACACCCCGAACTGAGCGCCCCCCCTAAGAGTGCAGTAGGCACTCCAGACGAGGAACCACCGACTGTTTGGCACTACTTAAGGGTGCTCAGTTGGGTAAGTAAAAATACTCAGAAAAAAATAGGAGAAAGGCAGAAAAACAAACATACCAAAAACTGATTGTGTGTGTGTGTGTGTGTGTGTGTGTGTGTGTGTGTGTGTGTGTGTGTGTGTGTGTGTGTGTGCGTGTGCCAGATTTATTGAGGAACAGATTGGAGTTGCAGAAGCTGTCCGCATCAGCAGCAACAAGATAGATGTGCAGTTCGAGCAAGTACTTGGTGTGGGGGACAGCATGCAGCAGTTCCGTAGAGTGTTTGCAGATCAATGGAGTCGATCGTCGCTGTCTCCAAAGGTTTTGCTGGCAGAGTGGTCCAGTATTGGAGGGGGTAGTCGATTTCCATGTTCCAACTGCTCTGGTGGTATGATGAGGAGTGGTGTTGCCACGAAACGACTTCTAACTGTCCGGCCATGGAATCTTGCCGGCCACTCACCGTTATCAAATCCACTGCCGGCATGTATCCGAGGAAAGAATGCCTGCGGGAATTTTCCCCCTTCTGTGATTGGAGGAACTACTAGAGGATTTGGGACTTATAACCATAATCCCAGTGCCAGTGCCATTGTAGGTGAGCAGTCACCTCCCCTCTCTGGCACACCGGCGTCTCCAGGAGTGATTGCGAACGCCGCCGGCTTTCGATCGCTTGAAGATGCCACTACATGTGGAGGAATACCTCCTGCTTCTAACCCCCCCCCTCCTCGATCTGACCCTGGTTATGGGTATATAAGCATAGATGGCAGGAGTGCAGTTTGTGTATCAATGCTACTGGGCTTTGCAGCGGGAGCAGGTATGGCCACTTACATATCACAAAGGGGGTCTAAGGAAGAGGAGCTTCAGCAGACACTTGGTGCCATCGCTTCTCAGATTGCACAGCAGGACAGACAGATATCTCAGATCCTCGAAGGCCGGTCTCCACACGTAGAATTGCTGAAACCCAGTGCTGCGCGCACCTTCACTCCAATCCGACTGCAAGAAGACCCAGGGACTTTGACCCAGGGATTGTCGCCGCCTTTGGCGTGGAAAGGCGGCCTTCGCACAGATGACGATGCGCACAAGCAAGGAGAGGCCTTGCAGCAGGTCCTTCACAGGCACTCCATTGCAGATGCTGCGGCCAAAGCCGCACCCGCAGTTGTTAACATTAAGGTCACGATCGGCAGCAGGGGCATGTCGTTTGGTCAGTTTTCGGGCACTGGATCTATAATTAAAGCAGATGGCACCATCCTGACGAACGCTCACGTGGTGGCGGAAGTCTCAGGAAGAAGCCCTTACCAGGGAAAACTTCTTGTTACGATGCACGACGGGAGATCGTTTGACGGAGAAGTAGTAAGCTTTGACTCCTTGGCGGATATCGCGGTCGTCAAGGTGAAATCGAGCTTACCCTTGCCCACAGTGAAACTGGGGACGTCACGGAACCTTCGACCCGGCGATTGGGTGGTTGCACTGGGAAGCCCCCTCCATCTGCAAAACACAGTTACCGCAGGAATAGTCAGCTGTGTGGACCGAAAGAGTAGCGAGATCGGCCTGCGTGGCGGAAGGATGGAATATATTCAAACTGATGCAGCAATTAACCAAGGCAACTCCGGCGGGCCGTTGATCAACTTAGATGGAGAGGTGATTGGAATCAATAACATGAAGGCGGTTGCTGCGGATGGCGTTAGCTTTGCGATCCCCGTGGATACGGCAATGAAAGTCGTCGAACAGCTTTCAAAGCATGGACGGGTGATTCGACCTTTCATCGGTATGAAAATGTTGGAGCTGAACGATGCGATCGTCAACCAGTTGAAAGAGAGAGACAGCAGCTTTCCCGATGTCGAGGCCGGAATATTGGTTCCACAGGTGATCGCAGGATCGCCGGCTGCCCGAGCCGGTATGATGCCAGGGGACGTTGTCGTTGAATTTGATGGGCAACAGGTAACAACGGTACGACAGATTATGGAGCTGCTTGGCGACAGAGTTGGAGAGAAGATAAAGGTCGTAGTGAAAAGGGCACGGGGGAAGACGGCTGTCCTTCACATTGTCACGGAAGAGATTACGAACGATCTCTGATAACGCGCGACAAGAAAGCAGAGTTCATTCTTTTTGCTGAGAGTGTGCTCGCACTAGGACTTTTCTGTACGTATCTGACGGCGATTATAGCGGCGCTGGGTGTATCTGGTCGCAATCACGTCCAGAGTTGACTCAAAAAGCCCTACGGTAGTTTGAGAATACCCGCAGTCCTGACAAAATTTTTGCGAAAGGAGGACACACCGCGAGATGCATCATTGCAGAAGACGTCGCAATTTCTTTTTTGCTAATAGTGGTGGCTTCTGTCTCTTCTGATATTGAACGACAACGACTGCCTTTGAGGACCACCACCCTGGTGACCAGCAGGAGGCCCCCCAGCCCACCAAACCAGGTGGGCTGGGGGCGCTGTCAGATCGTCGATCCAATGCCCCCGCAACGCTATTAGCAAAAAGGGTTCAACTGCATCCGTTGGATCGACGGGGTTCAACTGCATGCATTGGATCGACGATCTGACAAGTGGGCGGGGGGGACTGACAGCCCTGTTTGGGCCCTTTTTGCTAATAGCGTCGCTGGTGCGTGGGATCGACGATCTGACTGACAGCCCCCCCCCCCCCCCCCCCCCCCCCCCCCCCCCCCCCCCCCCGAAATGCTACACACATCTAATCTAACTGTTGATAAACAGATTGTGAGTTTGAATCACGATGATAGGTCTGTGGAACATTTTCTGCAACCTGGTGGGCAGCGCTGCCACAAAACTCAGCTTGTAGACCAAGTCGCACCCTCAAGGGGCCCTTTTTTTTCTTTTTCTTTTTTTTTCAAGGGGCCCTGTCAAAGAGTCAAGAGTTAGTCGGGAGCTTGATGTTTGTTTGCGTGCTTGGTTCTTTTGTTTTGAACTTGTTTTCTTTTTCTTTGGTTAGTTTTCGGGGTTGTGTCCCATAACTTCTGTTTGACGTCTTTCGCCATTATTCCAGGATTGAAGGCCCATTTCATCAGCATCGATAGAGAATGGGTCAGAGCTTTGTAATGATTCTAGGTTGTACCGTTGTGATCTAGAGTCCTCTGGGAGCTTCTAGAGTCCTCTGGGAGCTTCTAGAGTCCTTTGGGAGCTTCTGGAGTCCTCTGGGAGCTTCTAGAGTCCTCTGGGAGCTTCTAGAGTCCTCTGGGCGCTTCTGCCACATGGCCTTTTTAGGGTTGGGGTCTAAGTCTTAGCTCCAACGTGAACACGGACCCCTTCTCCTTTTACCAAACATCAACTACGCCTACGTCCATAGCCCCTAGCCGCTGGCATGACTGTAAAATTCTAAATCTGTTCGAGTCTAAGGCTCTAAGGATGTACTCACACTGGGACTTTTTGTGGATGCATCAGTTATGCCCAGATTTTATGTTAAAAAGCTTCAGCTGTGTGAGTATGGTGCATCAGGATTTCGGTTCGTGACGTGCCGACACAGTGCCATGGTTCTCAAAATGCCTCTGTTGCGTATCCCGTGAACAGTACAAACACTGAATGTTTTACAGTCAGGCCAGCAGTACGGACAGTCAGCCACAATTTTCATGGTCTGGGCTTTGTCCAGACCATGAAAATTGTGGCTGTTCATTCAACTTCGATGTTGTCATGGATTGAACAGCCAGTACGACGGCCTCCATACAGACCGGCATGTGCCTGTTTGTGTGTGTGTGTGTGCGTGTTCATGTGTTCATGTGTGTGTGTGTGTGTGTGTGTGTGTGTGTGTGTGTGTGTGTGTTCACCTGTGTGTTCACATGTGTCTCATCGTGTTCGCTATACGCAACTCCACGGAAAGAAAAGCATGGCTGTGCCGGACAGTTTCGTTGGACTTTCACCGACTCATCAGGAGGTTGAACCCCAACAGTCTGCCCAGGATGCACTTGACTGATGGAAAAATGTCGCCCAGAGTCGATGATACCCCTGAGAAAAGTGGTAGACTTTTCTCTGCGCGCGCGCGCGCGCGCAAGAGAGAGAGAGAGAGAGAGAGAGAGAGAGAGAGAGAGAGAGAGAGAGAGAGAGAGAGAGAGAGAGAGAGCACTGTGCTAAATAAGGGTGTTTACTCAACATGCATACAACTGGCTCAACCAACTAAAGAAGGTGGAAAAGTGTGGTAGGTGATCCTCGCAATCCTGTACCAGACCGAAAATAACTGCAGGGCTTCTATGCATGGATGAAGCCGGAAAGAATGAGACGCTTACAACGGAATGAAAAGGAAAGAGAAGAGAAAAGAAAAGAAAACGAAAAGAACCAGAAGCTTGGAATGGGGCTCCTGGTCCAGGACTGGAAGCTCTAGCCATTGCAAAAAACCAAGGTCCCATTCCAGGAGGAGCCCCATTCTAAGTTTCTCTGTTTTTTCCTTTTTTTCTGGGGGGGGGACAATGCTCCAATCTAATTCGTGGGGAGCCGCACGTGCTGGGAACCGGGCCCAGCGTCCCGTTAGGAACATTTGGAGAACATATACGGGGAAAAACTTGGGATACCGGGGCCATTACCCGGCTTCGGCGAAGAATAGGATCATGAGCAATTTCTAACCTATTAGACAAAAGACCTCATGAGGTAGGGAAAAATTCTGAAGAAGCTTGGAAAAATATGAGAGCGGAGGGTCAAAACTGAGCCCAGCTACTATCCAAAACTCACCCTCTCAACAGACGGAACGTCGGTCCAGGCTTTCAGTCCTCGTACCAGAACTCACTTGATCTCATACCCCCTTCTGCTAGGGTAACAAGGCACCACAACCTTCCCCAGTACTGACCAACCTAGTCCTGACGGACAGGAAGTGCCTTCCTCCCTCGACATTTCCCTTAGCGGCAACCCGGCGGCGGCTACGTCGGACGGCTGGTTATGCCTTCCACCCTCAGCATAACTCCGCAGGCCTCAAACTCCCCCTAGGTCACAGAGCAAAAACTCCAGCACCGACCAGTGTTGTCCCAGCATCGTCCTTCTAACCTACTTAACAAACAACCCCTCCCCTGGTGAGAGCCCCCTTACTACCTCCCATCCTCGAGTTCTAGCTCGCCCCCTTTCCCTCTTTTTTTTTTGAAATACCAGGGCCATTACCCAGCTTCGGCTAAGAACAATCTGATCACTATTAAAGGAGTTCAATAAAATTTAGGAAAGACATGGATAGCTGCTGACCTATTGCTAGGCTACTTAAGTAGCAGTTACTAAGTCAAAAAGGAAAGCCACATAAGTCCTTTGAATGCTCAGAACCTTAGAAACCCTGACAAAATCTTCTAAAATTCTCTAACACTGTCTTATTCCCTGCCCAGCTCTCCCAGGCCTCATGCCCCCACCCTGCTAGGTTATAGGGCAACACGACTCACCCCAGTTCCGGCCAGCGTCGTCTCGACAACAACCCTTGGTTTTCCTTTGGAATGCCCGCCCCCAAGGCATCCCCATATCTTTCTACTAGGCTTCACGGTCCTGCTATCAACAGGTTACAGGGCAAACCCCCCAGCACCGGCCAGCGTCTTTCTGGCATCGAAAAACCGCAGATCCATGAATATAACAGCATCAAAGAAGCCTAAATTGAGTTGCAAGAAGTACGCAGAATCCTGAAGCATTCTCAAGACTGCCAAAAGCAATCGAGAACAGCCAAATTGTTCGTGAAAATTGAGAACGAATTAGGATACTTTGGAAGCTGATGCAATCAAAACCACGTTACCCCAGTGCTACCTACCGCTGCCTCAACCCACCTATCCTAGATACCAAATTCTATCAGGCCTCATGCCCCCAACCGCTGGGTTACAGGGCGGCGCGACCCACCCCAGCTCCTACCCGCGTCGTCTTAGTAGCAGCTCCCGGTTAGCCACTGGATTGCCTTCCACCCTCGACAGTTCCCCAAATCTTTGTACCAAGCCTCTAACCCCCACATTGCTGAGGTTACAGGGCAGCACAACCAAACCCCAGCTCCAGCCAGCATCGTTCTGGCATCAGCCAACCTTAAACTCGTGGATATGATGGTGAAAAACCCTCCCCCAAACTTCCACTCCGACAAAAGACTTATCACGGTGGAGTCACCATCTCCATTGCTGCTATGCCCTATTTTCGTCCTACCAACTAGCCTCCTCGCCAGCAGGACGCGTCATATCCTTCCAACTGCTAACCCCACTTAGCCAAATGACACTCACCCTTACCTATGCGACCCCAACACGGAGGGGTAAGCTGAAGAGAAAAAAACTCACCCCCACTTAGCCAAATGACACTCACCCTTACCTATGCGACCCCAGCACGGAGGGGTAAGCTGCAGAGAAAAAAACTCACCATCCAAATCCAAGTATATCCCACACGATCAATGCAAAAACAAGGTACTAGAATACGACTCTGAATTTAGGGTTTCCAACTCAATTAGAAGATCAATATCCATGCATGGAAATTGTTTCAGGAAAAGCTGAACTTAGATCAAAAATAGGATTCTACCATTTGAAATCAAAGTTTATGACATCAGAAGCACAAAACATCAAATTGTGCGGTTGAATTTTCGAAAACCAGATTAGGAGATTAATTTTGGTGTCCAAATTAGAACATTTACCGGGTATTGTAATTTGAAGACTAATTTAGATGATTACATGAGTACAGAACAAAGTTATTGTAGTCGATTGTAAACTTCGACCATCAATCTATGAAAAAAAGAATTACGAATTGAGAATCAGACAAGACTCAGATTTTCAGATCATTCATCATATCAATGCACCATCCAAGAAGATATCAAGAAATAGACTAGGCTTCGTTTTGCACAAAGAAAATCACTCGACATCACCAATCAGACGTCACTAACAATCAAATAATCTATCGGAGTGATACTAACTATTACTAAGGGTTAAATTTTGAAAAAAAACGCTGCACTCAGAGCGCCCGTCGCTATGTGATGCCGCCTTGAACTTCACCTGAGGTCACCAATCTTTCTAGAACATCACGCACCGCTCCGCTCCCGCGGTCCCCTTGTCCAGCTGCCCAACCGCTGCCCAAACCAAACTCGGCCCCTGCATCTTCCTGTAGAAGGAGCCACTCCTCCTCCCTGCAGCCGGTGCTAGTATAGCCCTACGGCGAAGTGCACCAACCGGAAGAGATAAGTGGGACACCCCCGCCTCCTTGTTACTCCCAGAATGCGGTTGTATTGTGAATGACCATGCCAAGCCCGTCAACACAGCTTCACAAAGAATTCAGTCCAAATCCAACGACCCATGACAGCAAAGAACCAGAGAAGCGAGAGACAAAGATTACATACAGAAGACAAAGATAGTGCCCTCGTAACTCTATGCCACGTGGCACCCTCCCCCACACGGCTGCTCAAACCGCACGTCCCTCCTGTCTCCACATCCACGGAAGTTTCGAAGAAGCGTCATTGCCACGCATGATATTGACCCGCCATGCCCTTGTGACAGCGTCATCTCAGCTGTGTGTCTCAACGCGCGTTAGCAGCGCTCCCGGTAACG